GCCGAGGTTGCTTTGTTTCTTCTCGATAGGTGAGTAACACTGTGTCTGCGCCGCAACAGCTAAAGTCTGTCTAGTACACTAGATGCGTCAAAGCGACCGTTGAAAATCATTTGAAATTTGTCAATACGTCATGAATAGAACGCAGCAGCAGTTTTCTGTCAGGGATTTGTCGTGTCGTGCCGCGCCGCATCCAGTGTAGACCATAGATGTGTATATATATGTATGGTGTAGACAGCATCACTGATTATAATGAGTTCCATAGTATTTTGTCGCACCACTCGCATCCGGTGTAGACACGGTGTAACATTGGTTTTGCTTTGTTTCACAGAACTAATCGTTGCCTGGGTTGCGTACGTATGTGTGGGGCGGAGCTATCAAAATAGGGGCGAGACCCTTTTGAGGTGGGGGAGTGTTTGTTTTGGTGATTTCAAATGTCAACATTGGCTACCAGAAATCGCTTACCCCACCTTTAAATAAAGCTACACATTGATATTCAGTGCTGGGTCCTCAAATTTACATAGACATTAGAGACAAGTTCATAGTGCTCAGAGTGGAGAAGCGTAACTTCAAAAAAGATCAAATTAGATTTACGGTTTCATCCACTCTTATTTCTTTGCACTGCTTTTATCATTCTTGATAAAAAATTTTTTATGAACACTCATTTTTGGAGTCACCACCTTGATCCTCTTTGACACTTGCACTGTTGTGCTATCTTCATTTCAAAGAAGATTATGGGATGGATGACAGAAATACACTTACGCCAAAATCAAAGCAGTTGAAGGAGGAGTGGAAATAGAGTCTGGGTCCAAGTCCATACATCTTGAGAAACATCTCTGTAAGAAACAGGCCCAGAAACAGGAACTCTGCATAGTCTGCAATAGAAAGGAATCACTTTAAAGTTAAGACTATTGATCATGTATGACAGCATATCCACAGAGAGAAAAGTTTCATTTTGCTTGTGGTCTTACAAAGGAGACTAGACAACCACTGAGGCTGCTTGTGGTGAACGATGGCAACACAGAAAGTGTTGAGGGCCACCAGACTCAGAACGATCCAGTAGAAGGTGTGAGTCTTCACCATACGGCGAACAGAGATCCTTAGCATGCGTTCTTTCCGACGGAAAAAGGACGTTGGTCCTCTTTTAGCACTGCGTATGCTGGCTGTGTTCAATGGCATCCCTGACGGACAAAAATATTTATGAACAAGCAAAACAAGTTAATCCACTTTTATATACTTCTTGATTGAGTAAGGAGATTATTTCAGCTGTATGTGAATGATATTCTGAAAAAATGCATATAACGACATGTCGGTAAATGTTTAGCATCATCTAGACAGGATATGAAGGAGACTTGTTGGAGGAAACCACTCACCTACAGACGATATGTCAGCATACTGTTCCTCTGGAGCTCTCCGAACATCATCCACCCCTCTTCTCTTTATTGTGGTGGCTCTTTTTAGCACTGAGAACACATACCAAATAATTTATCCCATGATCTTATCTTATTATATTTCTTTTATTTCAAACTAAAGAAATAACAGATTATTTTTATATAACAGAAATAAAAGCATATACGGGTTATAAAACATTGACAGACACTTGATTTGCATTTTGGTCATGTCACCAAGGATAGTCCTGTCCATGTCGTGTGGGAAATTATTGTATTACATGTTCCCAATTATAAATAAATGAAATAAAAATCATTCACATTTTATGTAACTCCAAATATGTTTATCACCTTCAAAAAATCTATGTATACATTTTTTATTTGTATTTATTTGTTTATTTAATCATCATTTAATCAGGAACAATGCACTTAAATAATGCATAAAATCAATGTAAAATGTGTCAGGGTGGCTAATTTCCATCTGTAGCCACAGGGTAGGTAGAAAAACTGAACCTAAAGCAAATTATTAAAATATTATCTGGAAAATATTTACTTTTTATTTATTTATTTATTTTATCAATGATGGTAACTTTTCATAAACATTGAATATATTTTGGTTGGCTTTGATTTTGTTGAGTCCTGCAGAATTTATTATTTAAGTGCCTACAGAGAAACTATGTATCACTGAAAACTGCAGCCAGCTTAGGACATGATATGACAAATGTACAGCCATCACCCCGTTGTAATAATTTACTTCTCAAGCATTTATAGAATATAACAGGCTTGACAGCAGCAACTGAAAGTTCCCCAATTTATCAAAGCATCTAGCCTAATAGTTGGCACTAATGGATGCATTCAATTGCAAATTGCAATTGCAATTGCAATCAGCTTGTTAGATTTCGCTGTTGTCATGTTGTCAATGAAGTAAATACGAATGCCTGCAATTACATTTTGTGTTTTAAACTCTCTTCAGAGTGCAACCTGGATACCTACTGCTGTCAAGCCTCATTTACAAGGGCCAAAACAGGTCTCAGTCTCTCCTGACCCCCTAAAAATTGTTTTCCATATAGGCCCCAGTTTTTTAAGAAAATCATCTTAAATGGTATGATGGGACGTTTACAGCAGAACAGCAGGGAAATCGAAATAACAGTTCACCATGGTAACTGCCTGCTTTCCATTCACACAGCCTCTTGGAAGCTGTCAATCAACATTTATTAAAAAAAATAATAATAATTTATTTCGGGGAAAAACCTGTCGCCTATAGGGTTCGGATGTCATGTGGTGGGTCTTCGCTTCACAGATGTGTGCCATGAGCAGGATCATGGCGTTCTGTTTATTGTGACATCAGTCTATTGAATATACAATCCCTGTGATGTTTTATGGGACCAGAACAGGCTATTGAATAAATGATGAAATCTGGGACCGAGAGAATGGGTATTTACTAGTGTGTTCAAAATAATCATATGACCCTAACCCTGACACATAATTAAAAAACTGCATCCCACAATCTACGTGGGAAAATGAGAGAAAAACAGAAGAGGTCAAACATCTCACCATCCAAAGCAGAAGGTCCTGAATTCTTGTTCTCCTCTGCAAGCATCACCTCCTCTGCAAAATAAAAACGCACTTGAATTTTATCAAGTTGTACACTTGCAATTCACTGAAAAACTAGCATTTAAAAATCTAATTTATATAGGATTTTGTAAAATTTAAACAAAGAAACCAATGAATAAGAAATATTTAAGATTTGCACTTTTTCTAGATCACTAAACAAGCAAGCAAATTTGTTGATCATGTGCACTGCTTTTTATTTTCAGATTTTCCCGCTTCTA